GACCAGCCCTGCTGCAGTGGGCTGAAAGGGGCACCTGGGCCTCGGGCAGTGCGTGGGGAGGGCCTGGGGAGGCTGGGCAGGGGCAGCGAGGCCTGCTGGTGCCCTCAGGGCCCTGCTGAGGAGCTTTTCCATTGCCCTGCACAGCAAACGCCCATCTGGAGAAAATCTATAGACATCTTTGCTTCCCGTTCCAGATTTGTAGCCATCCTCGTGGTTCCCAAAATGGAGTAAAATCAGATGTGGGTATTGCATCTCAAAGGTTACTGTTTCAGTAAAGTCTGTGACTCCTTCATCCTGTTTAAGAATTAAATGTGTACATGATTAGCAACTTTGCTTAACCTGTGCTTCTTTGTTTAACTGCCCTTTCTTCCTGAAAAGAAGAGGTCTCAGAACTGGGCCAAGTAAGCAGGGAGGCTCAGAGATTAAATTTCGTTGAACAAATCCAGTGAAGTTCAGAATAGATAAGATAAAGACTCAGACTTCCCTGCTTCAGTTAAATAAACTCCAGATCATTTGGTATTAATTGATCAGGAAAGGTGCAGCCTTTAATGAAGTTGCCACACTCAACAATGATCTGAGAGCTTTTATTTTATGAAAGTCCAGATGTTTCATCTTGATCAAAACAGAAATTTTACTGAAGACTTCTTAGTCACACCTATCACAGCCCAGAACAGTCCTGCTTAGTGAGGATAGGAGTGCTTCTCGTTTCATTAAATCAGCTGAACATCAGGCAATGCCAAGCACTCCAGGTCTGGGCCACGGTTGCCTTTCTTAGCTCATTGTCTCTCAGGTACAGTCCCTTTACTCCCATCTTTTCTTTGTGAACTGGGACAAAACTGCCTAGAAACAGGGAGACCTTGTTATTAGCAGTGCATAGTGCACAACAGTGGGATTGAAGTGCATCCTTGAACCATCTCAGCTGGTGCTTTGGGTTTGTGCAGTTCTTCACACCTTGGATAGGCTCTGAGTACATCACTCAGTTCAGCTTTGAGTACAAAACAATCCCTCTCCTAAAAAAAAGAAGACTTGTATAAAGGGAATAGGTAAGAGATCATGAATTAATAAAGTATCTTTTGTCGAGACAGTTATGATGATGATGATGATGCTGTTAAAAAGCAGATGAATTATCATCTTGCTGAGAACAAAATAATCAAGAAAACACTCCTCTGCCATAGGGCCCATCAGGTTTCTTTCTAGGGGAAACATGTGAAAAAGATGTTTAACAACTTGTCTTCTTTAGTCAAAGTGAAAGTGTTTAATTTGCCTTTTAACTTGCTTTTAAACATTTTCAAAATTGCCTTGTGCTGTCTCCGGAAATTTCTCTTTCTATTCTTTTGTCGACATATTCCTATGTATAGAAAAGGGTTTAAGAGCGTTTGTCCTGAACAATTACAGTAAAAATAGCAATGAAGCGTTAATGGTAATAGCATTTGACACTCACCAAAATGTTTCCCAGAGGTGGGATTATATATAGGTTTAAAGTTAAACATCTCAAATTTCTTTGCTGAACATAGAACATTGCTAGAATATTTTCTGCTTTGCTTCATTTCCTAAACTTTTAACTTTTTTAATCATTTTATTTCAGTGAAGAAAAAATCTATGAATGTCCAGACTACCGAACCTCAGGTCCCAATTCCTGCTACTTTGATAAAAACCACACTAATCCCTGGACAACATATAATATCACTGTAATGGCAACGAATGAGATTGGAAGTAACAGCTCAGATCCTCAGTATGTGGATGTGACCTCCATAGGTAAAAAGAGAATAATGAAATGAAAACAAACTAGTTGGAGATGTATGCGGTTTTTAATCCTAGAAGAAGTAGTGGGTGAAAGATTTCTTTCCTCATGATGTGAAACTTGCTATGGAGGAGTGTTCATCTACAGATGATCTAAAATATGCATCTTTAATTTATGTGAAAAACTGCCTTTTACTTATAAATTAAGTAACTACATATTTTATTGTCATTTTAACTTTGGCTGAAAATTGGCTCCAGTTTCTAGTTATCTCCAGTATTTCAGTTAGACTCAATGACAGTTTTGTAGGTTCCTAGCACTGCAGATTATAAAACTTTCAAATTAGGTTAAACTACCTAAATTTTCCAATTGTAAACAAACATCTTTCTGGCAGCTGGCATTGCAGTCTTGGGAGGGTAAAAATAACTGCCTAAGCGCTCTGCAGGCTTTTTGTAGTATTTCATATTCCTAATTCCATTCTGCTTTCTGCATACACATAACCTACACATTGTTATGATAAATGTACTTAGCCTTTTCAGCTATGAAACATCTGACATTTTAATTTTGCAAGAGTGGCCTAATGAAATTATGATTTGTATTTCCTTATGCTAACAAATTCAGACTAAAGTCTAAGATTTCCTGATACTGTGGTAAATGATTAGCCAGTTAAACATTATTAGGGAGAAAGGAAAAAAAGTATATTGTACTATTCCTTTACAGCAGTGCTGAATGGTCTGAAATTAACGTGATGAAATATAAAGCTGTGCCTTTTCTGAGGGAAAATTAAATGATTAATGGCAAACTTTTCATTTATACAGTTCAGCCAGATGCTCCTGTGAACCTTTCTCTAGAAACAAAAACATCTGCTAGCATAACGTACATGTGGGCAAAATGGTCTCCACCTCCATTAGCTGATGTCAGCTCTAATTCATCTGTATATAAGTATGAGCTACGACTAAAACCTGAGGAAAAGGAAGAGTGGGAGGTAATGGAACAATATATTTACTGTATAAATGCTCTTTTCAGTGAGTTCTCTTGTCTGAATTTAACTGGTATTACAAAAAGCTTAGTTTCTGTAAGGATAAAAAAATTAATGTAACCAAGTCTGATTATAGAAAGAAAAATACTGTAGTATTTTGTAAACTACTGTAGTGGTTTGTAGAAACAGTGAAATTCAAGGTATTTGTGTAATGTCCTAATATATACTAAAAAAACCTACTTAGTCCACTGATATAATATTTAATTGTATTTTTCGTCTGTTCCCAAGTGTCATAGTAAGAGGCTCCTCAGTTCATATAGTTCATATAGGATCAAAGTAGTTTATTGATTCATTAAGATGCAATTAACAAGCAATCCGTTAACTATGCAAGTCAAGGTCATTATTGGCAATACAACAGATAAATCACAATAACAAACACTTAAAAATGTTGATAAACACCTACAAATTCATAAACACACTTCTATAAATACTCCCAGAATTATGCTATATACAGAAATTCCCCTCTCCAGGGAAGGGTGGGTTACAAGCACACTCTACGCTCCTGGGAGTACAAGCTGCCCTGTTTACACCCGCTTCTGCAGGGGACGTGGATGCTTTATGCTAACTCACGTTCCTTCTTACAGTCTGCTAAGACACACATCAGTGAGAAAGCACCCACGCAGTCACATGCATACACCCAGGTGTGGGTTCCTGCCTGCTGCAGCCCACGCTGTCTGGAGCACAGACACATCGTCTGAGAGGGAGGCTGCTCTGTCTGGCCCAGGCAGATGTCATGATGCTAGCAGAGCAGTTTCTGATAGCGTCAAACTAAATGTCAGCTAGTGCTGAGGTTTCCAGTGTGTTGTGTTCTTTCCCCCCTTCTCCATTACAAATTTTCATGCTTCTTTAATACTGACCCTTTTTGTTTCAGAAGCCTCTCAGTTATGCCCTAATTACTATTTAATTGGACTGAAAGTTGTCACCATCGTTGTTTTCAACATGGTCAGTTGGGGGCAACCCCCTCCTCAGAAAGTTTAGAGTGTCCTACTCACACACATTATTTCCATTGACATTCCCAGCTGTTGCTGTTTTGCTAGATGTGGGCCACAGTACTCCCACAGCTGAGGTACCAGGATGAAATATCATTCTTAAAGTCATAGTCAGATGGCCTCCTTGCTACCTAAATTGTTGATGCCTTAATGATGGAGAAAGCTATGTGTCTTGAAAGACTTCTGAAGAGATTCAAAGGGCCTGAGGAAGGCATTTAATACTAAGCAATAAAACTAGCCACTAAGAAGTGTTACACAGAGGGTTTATCTGTGAATTGGACTACCTGTGGTGTTCCTTGCATTGTGGATTTGATGGAGTACTAACTTATAGGAAGCCTACAATTAAATATGTTCTCAAGTATCGAATCTCAGTGTCACTGAAGTGAGTTTTTCTGTTAAGTCACTACCTTTGCTTCTTTGTAAGTCACATCTTAATAAAAAAACCCAACTGAAACCCTTGCCTTTCAAAAGTCTGTGACACAAGCCTGCTCCTTTATGGTTTATTTGTTAAAATGGCCCAATACTTTATGATTTTTCCAGTCCATTTTCTTTTCCAGACAATATCTGTTGGAGTGCAGACACAGTACAAAGTCATGAGGTTACAAGCTGGGGTGAAGTATGTTGTTCAGGTCCGTTGCATGTTAGACCTTGGAGAATGGAGTGAGTGGAGCTCTGAAAGACGCATTGATATCCCCAATGGTGAGTGGATGATTGCTGTATTGGCAATTGTTTTTAAGTCCTAGCCAGTTCATTGTTGTGAAAGGTTCCTATATGGCAGCCCTGAAAACCTGGTTCCTCACACAGATACTTCATAGTGCTGGAGGAGCAGCTCAGTGCATCTTACCGTACTTTGTGTGTAATTGCATATTCAGTCTGTTGATCCACTCAGGATCCTCTGCTGAAACTGGCTATGACAATCAGGCTGGGATTTACTAGGAAGTCACTTCTGATACATGTGTGCCTAGTTTATTCTTCCTGTCCCTCTGTTTAAAAATCATGTTGATTTCATCTGTAGCTGTAGATATTGGGTAACGGCACTTGTGTAAGAATCATTCATTTGTTCATTAATAACTGAAATGAAAGCACTGCCATGTCTAACACAGCATCACACTTGCAGCTACCATCACATGGAAATAATGATCTGTGTTTTGTTGGGTTTCAGTGGGGACATTAAATATGCATGACATCATATCTTGCTGTCGGACACTTTAGCCAGGTTGTCTCAAATCTTCTTCTGCCACTGATTGTATTATTCATTATTTGACATGGAGATTGCTGAAGTACTGTTAAGAGAAAAATATTTTTTAAACGTCCCATTTTCAGATCTGCTTTAGGCAATTGGAAAATCAATGTCCCTACTCTAAATAGTAAAAAGATGTATTATTGATGTAATAGGAACATATTTTACCATAAATGCATAACTGCAGAAGTTTCAATCACATCATGGTTTTGATGAGCATCATCCTATTCAAAATTTAAGCATTTTACTCTGCCCTTCTCTAAGTGCATCAGGTATCCAAATAATTACAGATTGGTTGGCAGCAATCAGGCAAGCAGCCTGAGTACTGGGCATAATGTCACTTTAAAAGGAAATATGAAAGCTGATTCTTTTTATCTTCGGAGTCAGCTCAGCATAAGTACTTCAGAATAGAATTACTGTCAAGGACATAAACAAATGGGCAAAACTTTTTTTCATCACTTTTTTCCCATAAATGCCAAAACAAATGACAGAATATTTTTTTGAACAATCAGAAGCATCTTAAAACACATTTTTTGAAGAAAAAAGAAATTAGGTTGAATAGCAAAGCATATTTTAAATTGTTTTATGGAACCTGCTATGACAGTATTTGAGCACCTCTTACTAGATTTGGGGGCAGAGAATAGCCACGGCCAGGGAACTAAAACATAGTTACTCAGTATAGCTGCAGTGGGAAAGGATTTTGGATCCAAGTCAAAGTAGCAGGCTGCTGCCTTGCTCACTGAACCATCCTGAACCATCCCTCCTTTCCTGTGCTAATATGAAGCAAAACTTTTTCTTTTGTTGTAGAAAAAAAAGTACTTTCCTGTGCTCTGCTTGACATGGTTTTACGAACTCAGGGTTCGTAAAACAATTAAACTTATGAGTTAATTTCTTTATCTCTTACAGGAGAGTCACCTCCTGAAAAGCCTACAATAATAAAATGCCGTTCTCCAGAAAAGGAAACATTTACTTGTTGGTGGAAACCTGGTTCAGATGGAGGACATCCTACTAACTACACTTTGCTTTACAGCAAAGAAGGGTAATAACCTGTGTATAATTATTCAGTGTTTTATTGGAAGGACTTGGAGAATCAATTCTGATTCATTTTGCATTTAGGAGATGTCATTTCCTATAGCACATGTTTTTGTCCAAGTGACATATTCTGGAATAGAACTAGCAGCAACATATTTAAGGTTGAAATAGGATCTCTTATAATGTCAGGTTTTTCAAATTTCTGTGAATTCTTCTGCCTTGGAAGACAGATTGCCTTGAAAGTTGCCATGGCACAGCAGCTGCATCATAGGATGCAATACAAAGGCACAGTCCTGTAGCTCTTTGGCCATGCAGCCCCAGAAATAAAGCTTTCAAAAATTAACAGATATTAAAATTTTCATCATCTGATAATGCTTATTTTGCACAAATATTCATAGGCCATGAATGCCTTCTGGCTTCTGCAGTAGTCTGGGTCCTGGAACTTAGATCAAGTTCATTTTAAAGAAGCAGTCAATGTTTTATTTGTGTCCTGTGAACCGTTTTTGGTTTACCCAGCACTGCTCATCCTTGCACTGACCTGACTGGATGCTAAACTCTGTACTTGTCAGCTGAGAGGCAAGTCTTAGTGGAAAAGACAGATACTGGTCCAGCCAGCCAGGGCAGAGTGTGAAGTCCACATGCACAACTTTCTCTTTTGTTATTGTGCCTGGAATACAATTCCAGAGGAGCCTGGAAACAAGTACTACACACTCAACTTTCTCTCCTATCCCTGCTCCTTTGGGAAGCTTGTGAATGGATTTGGAGGACAGGTACAAAGCAGGTTATTTTTGAGGAACAGGTGAGGAAAGACCAAAATAGATTCTGAAAGCATATTAATGTAATATGCAGAACTCATGTAAGTGTGAAATGAACATTGGAAATACTCAGTTTTTAATAGATGGGCTATAAGACTTCAGCAATCACTCCTACTGGGTCTCTGGAACCTGTAAGGACTTTGCAGTGGACAATGGCATTCAGAAAAGTAAGAGCTGCACTCTGCTAGCCCGCTGCTGTATCTACAACAGCCTGAATACTTCAAGCTTTGTAGTCTTTATTTTGGGTGGAAAATACTTACTACAGTCTCTGGAATTGTCCAATGACTCTTTAGTCTGAAAGCAATTTTCTGATTTTCTTCACATTGCCAGGAAAAAAATCTGATCCAGCCCTGAATAATGCTGAACTGCTAGTAATCAAAGTCAGGTGTTTTAGTCTGTGTAACCTAATTACTGTGATTCTTTCAATTCAGAGAAGAACAAGTTTATGAATGTCCAGATTACAGAACTGCGGGCCCCAATTCGTGCTACTTCGATAAAAAGCACACTTCTTTCTGGACCATATACAATATTACTGTGAGGGCAACTAATGAAATGGGAAGTAACATCTCTGATCCTCATTATGTGGATGTGACTTACATAGGTAAGACATAAAAAGTACTTTCTGTAGAACCAAATAATTTTAAATTACAAATTTTGACACAAGAATTTAAATTCCGGCTCTTCTCATATAGAATCATAGAATAGCTTGGGTTGGAAAGAACCTTTAAAGGTCATCTACTCCAGCCCCCCGGCAATGAGCAGGGACAAGTTCAACTAGATCAGATTTTATATAGTATTATATCCAAGTTAAAAATGTGTAAGAACAAATAAGATCTTATCTGGTGTAATAATAAATCAATATTCATCCCTTTACCATTTTATTTTCAAAGGAAGCCTAAAAATGCTAAAAGCTTTAAAACTGCATTCAGATAACCATTTATTGGTTTTCCATATTTCTTTCAATCAAGCCCTAAGAAACATCATCCAGCTAAAATCTTTTTCCACTCTACCAGCAACTGAAATCAGATTGATCTTTTAACTAATAATACTTAAATTTTATTACCTCAAAATAGTTTCCAGACCCAAGGGAAGTTGAATTAGTGCTTTTTATAGCAGTGTGCTGATAAACTCTTTTCTCAGACTTTTTCCAAAGAGTGATTGCGGACAAGTATTTCATTTTTTTTCTAAGGGAACAGAACATTATCACCAATAACCATTTGCTTATCGTGGATCTGGCTGTCATGGGCCTAGCAACTGGAAAAGGGCTGCTGGAGAAAAAGGCTTAACATTTTACCTCAATGCCCTGACTACTTACTTGATGAAGCTTTGCATCAGGCAGTGGTAAAATACATGCACAATATACAGAAGCTCTATCTCTGAACTGAGGAAGCTGCAAGCCTGAAAGCTGTAGCAGAAACCTGTGTTCCATTTTGGTTTATTTTTGAGATATAGACAGGGTTTTAATATTACTGGTTTGTTTTATTTTTTAATATCCTTACATAAATGCATTTAGGGATTATGCTGTTGTGTTTTCTGAGTATAAAATGGGGAGGGGGGCAAGTTTCATCAGATCCGTCTGTGTTTTCAGCATTCCTAAATACATATGCCAACTTTGATAAGATTATAGTAAAACACAACTTTCATAACACAGTATTAAAGGTATTAACTCTGAAACATAGCCGTAGGGAAAAGAACAATAAATGGCAACGTAAGAAAAAATTATTTCTGGTGATAAATGATTAAGGCAAATCTCAACATGGACTCAACATATTTACTTTTCCTCAGTTTTTTTCTTCAAATTCATAAATCCATGCTTACTTTATCAGGAAACTCTTGATCCGTGTATACCAGCACCAGTTCTAAATTACTAGCCCAAATGGAGGTGACAAGTCACCACTCACACCATTTTATATTTCTTCCTAAGCAAGGAAAAAAATCATTTAGACTGTTATTGTCTTAATATTCTTTTATTTTAATTATTTTAATTTATTTAGTATTCTTTTATTTTAACAGTACAGCCAGATCCTCCTGTGAATGTAACTCTGGAATTAAAAAAGCCAATAAATAGAAAACCATATCTGGTCTTGACATGGTCTCCACCCCCGCTGGCTGATGTCAGATCTGGATGGCTTACCCTTGAATATGAGTTGCAACTAAAGCCTGAAGAAGGAGAGGAATGGGAGGTAAGGATGTTGCCAGTTTTTGCTAGATGATATTTTCCGATCAATTAGATTCTGTCAGCCAGGTCCTATGCCTGAATGTAATGAAGCAGGCACACTGAATAGTTCATAATTTTTCAAAAGTACTTGTGTGATCTCCAATTTCCTACTGAGAATATTGGTATCACAGATGCTATCGTGTGAGAGCAGGTGATAAAGTACTTACTTTTAATTGTGGCCATTATATGTTAATCGTATTGGCATTACAGTTTAAATTGTTCATTCTCATTTAGTCGGGTTTTTATAATTTGTTCTTAACCACAAGCACTTCTTAGGTAATAGAAGGCTCAGTGACATAATGTAAAATCATTTAAATTTGTACAAATAGCCATTAGGTGATAGTTTTCATGGCTATATAATAACAATTGTCTATAGCAAGGATCTGTAACTCAAAAAACAGGGCAGCAAATTAAAGACTCCAGCTGTTGGTATGTGGCCGCATCCCCTTCTTGTCTGCTGCAATACTTCCCAGCCACCTCTGTATCTCCTCCTTCCTTCCCCCTGACACTGCACTTGCCAGCCCCCTGGCCATTGCAAGATCTACTTTTTACTACCTTGTGCGGTTCCACCAACTCCACGTTCCTTCTTTTGTCTCTGCATTATCTTCCCTGTCTCTTGTTTCTTGTCTCCTCTCACCATTGCAGTTCCCACCATTACCACATTTCCTCCCTATTTGCCATATGCTCATGATGGTTTTTTGTAGTATTTTAATTTGCACAGTATACCAAAGGCAGATCTCATTCCCACTGAATTATGTTGGAAAGCTGACCTATAGAAATAAAATAAATGTACCGTTATTCCATGCTTGCATAACAATTATTAGGAAGCTATCCAGATTCATTCTATATTACCAACTTGATTATCAAGACTTAAACCTAGCTGTGATTTTTATAGAAAAGTGTCTCAATTTTATGTGCATTTTATGATTTTTATTTCATTTTCAGACTATTTTTGTTGGACAGCAAACACAATATAAAATGTTTAGTTTAAATCCCGGAAAGAAGTACATTGTACAGATTCACTGCAAACCAGACCACCATGGATCATGGAGTGAATGGAGCTCAGAAAAGTATATTCAGATCCCTGCTGGTGAGTAGGCAGGCATCCCTTCCGTAATTGTTATTACGTGGAAGTTCATGTAATCCGTTTTTTAGCTGGTTGTGGCACCCATGCAGATTGACATCCCGTAGTTTCCCTAGGACAGGTAAGAACATAATTGCTAAGGTAACTGAATTCTCAGCATCCTTGCACCATAGCCAGTTACAGAATCACAGCATCATTAAGGTTGGAAAAGATCTCTAAGATCATCAGTTCCAACCATCAACCCAACACCACCATGCCCACTAAACCATGTCCCCAAGTGCCACGTCCACATGTTTTTTGAATGGTGATGTTTTTTTTCCAGTGATGGCGACTCCACCACCTCCCTGGGCAGCCTGTTCCAACGCTTGACCACTCTCTCAGTAAAGAAATTTTTCCTGATATCCAATCTAAACCTCCCCTGGCGCAACTTGAGGCCATTTCCTCTCGTCCTATCGCTAGTTACTTGGGAGAAGAGGCCAACACCCACCTCACCACAACCCCCTTTCAGGTAGTTCTAGAGAGCAATAAGGTCTCCCCTCAGCCTCCTCTCCTCCAGACTGAACAACCCCATGTCCCTCAGCTGCTCCTCGTAAGACTTGTGCTCCAGACCCCTCACCAGCTTCGTTGCCCTTCTCTGGACATGCTCCAGCACCTCAGTGTCCTTCTTGTAGTGAGGGGCCCAAAACTGAACACAGGATTTAAGATGCAGCCTCATCAATGCCAAGTACAGGGGCACAATCGCTTCCCTGGACACAGTGTTTCTGATACAGGCCAGGATGCTGTTGGCCTTCTTGGCCACCTGGGCACAGACTTGAGACAAAGGCGGCATTATGTACCTCAGCCTTTTCATCATCCTTGGTGACAATGTTCTCCCCCACATCCAATAAAGTGTGGAATTCTCCTTGCCTCTCCTTTTCTTGTTAATATCTTTGTAAAAACACTTTATGTTATGCCTTACGACCATGTCCAGCTTGAGTTCTAGCTGGGCTTTTGCCTTTCTAATTTTCTTTCTGCATGACCTAACGAGATCCTTGTACTCTTCTCGAGTTGCCTGCTCATTCTTCCAAAGGTGATAAACTCTTCTTTTTATCCTGAGTCCCAGCAAAAGCTCCCTGTTCAGCCAGGCCAGCCGTCTTCCCCACAAGCTTGTCTTACGGCCCATGGGGACTGCGTGCTCCTGTGCCTGTCCTTTCTGTTTATTGCCTCATTTGTTCACATGCTGGTAGTTTTTAATTAAAAGAACACCACTAACTGCATTAAAACTGCTACTTAGACAACAGAGAGTGACTACTTTCAGACAGTAACAGCTCTTCATTACTCTTTATCTGGAATGAATTTTAAATAAACACATCGATGTAAAAAGTGCCATGTTACAATAGAAATCCTTAAAAATATCTAGTCCTAGATCATTTAACCCACCATTTAATTAATTGTATGATATGTATTTGATAATGACATGACTACAGTATTGGCATAATTGGATTTGAACCCCATTGCTATAACTGTCTGTGACAAAATTTCCCTCTTCATACATTTTTGTATCATTTTTCCAAGAGAGTTTATTTCCTACACAGTGCCATTAATAAAATGTGTATTTATTATCAGCTATTACAATGATTACTGAGATCCATCTATTCTAGTAAAGGCCTCTAGATTCAATACCAAATTTGGCACCTCAGACCAATTTTAAGATAAGACTAATTTGAGACTTTTTTTGCATGCTGACTATGAAGATGTTGGATATGTGTCCTTAAATAATTCTGTTTGTTTCCTAGACTTTAGAGTAAAAGATATGGTTGTGTGGATCATCGTTGGTGTCTTGTCATCTCTTACATGTTTAATCATGAGCTGGGCAATGGTTTTGAAAGGGTACAGGTAAGCCACCAATTTCACAATTGCATGAAGTTGAATATCTCAGCAAACTCTTCAAGAATAGACTTCTAACATTTGATTCAATTTCCTATAGGTTTTGTGTTCTCTTATAAACTGTAAGTTACAGGTATTTGACTTTAAATTCACAACTGAAAAAGAGGTATTTCTGCTCTTCAGGGAAACCAGGCTAAATTCTCAATTGGTAAGGGCATATCTCTGTTAGATCTGACCATCTTGGTTAGCCATGTAAGTATTCAGCAAACATCATTTGGAGTATCCTTGCTCCTGTAGAAGACACGCCTTTTGTTTTTGCCCTGACTTTCTAAAGGAAACAAGGTTATATTATGAGGTTGTCTTTCTGCCCACCTGTCTGTCAATTCTCCAAATAATTTATTAGAGCACTGGCTAATTTCAATCAAATCTGAAAGAGAAAGGTGTTGCAAAGATGATCACTTTTATGCAAGCCTTGCAAAAAATACTGGCTGAGTAGAAGAAAGAGACAAAAACTGTTGATGGAAAAACCCTCAGAAGTCATTCATCATATATCCTGTTTAGTAGTAGTCAGCTGACAGTCAACTATGTACATACAGGCCCACTTGTCCTCCTGAACTGTGCCCCACATTGCTGTTTCTTGGCCAGTGATGAAGTTACAGTGATAATAGAGAACTGGACGTGAAGAGGCAAAGGACATTAGCAATGTCACTTTTCCAGATGAGTAACTTTTGTACTGTTCTCTTTCTTATAAATACATCTAAGGGTAACTTACGAACTGTAACTGAATTTGTAAATTACCTGGCTTAAGAGGTAGGCAGGAAACAGAGGCCCAACAGGGAGGTATCAGATATGGGAGAATTGTTTAAAATGTCAGTCACATTCCGAGGAAATGGGAGAATAGAGAGATAGGACCCATACTTATACTTTGTGTGGTTCTTCTGATTTTTTTAGAATGATAGCCTTTATCCTGCCACCGGTTCCAGGACCGAAGATAAAAGGCATAGACACACATCTGTTAGAGGTGAGTGCCACCGGTAACAACAAAAGAATCCACCACTACCTAGTTTTCCTAATTATGTACTAGCAAACACAGTTACCATAATGAAGTATAAAACTGCCTCAATTAATTTAATCAATGTTAAAAATAAGTGACATTTTCAGACTGATCATGTGGAAGGTATGTGTGAGGCAGTCTTGCACTAGTAGTAGGAGGGCGTTTGAGAACAGGGTGTGTGACCACAGCTGTTCCTTGGGACACCACAAGAGCTAATGCCTGTGTGATCTTCCTAGTAGTTGTTATGGAAGTTGCTCTCCGCAGTCTCTTGCCATGCTGAGGAGACAGGAGATGGCTGCTCTGTTATTCTCCTCCATCTCTTTCTTGTTAAACTCATAAGACCTGTACCTGCCAAAAGCTCCTTAGTCCTCCTACTTTAGAAACATGAATTCTAGGATTCTGTCGCCCCACTAAGGGAACTCAAGAAGTTTTCTTCTGTTCTTCTACTATTTTCTGCAGCAGTAAAAATGCAGTTCAGGTGTAGTGATAGATCTATTGAAGTATTTGTATATTAAATATGTAGATTGTTCACAATTATTCTAGTCAGATAAACCCTAAGGTTAACAGTGAAAAAATATATCCTATTTATTATGCCCTTAGACAGGAAAATCTGAAGAATTATTGAGTGCTCTTGGTTGCCATGGTTTCCCTCCAACATCAGACTGTGAGGAACTACTGATAGAGTACCTGGAGGTAGAGGACAGTGAGGATCAGCAACTCATGCCAAGCCATGACAATGATCATCCCAGTAAAAATGCAAAAATGACACCCAAGGAAACAGACAGTGACTCAGGCCGAGGGAGCTGTGATAGCCCTTCTCTGCTTTCTGAGAAGTGCAGGGAGTCCCACGCCCTTCCATCAACACTTCAAACACAAGACGTAAGAGATGTTCAGAAAAATAAAGGAGGAAAAAGGAGCTGGGAAGCTCAGTGTATAGCCTCAGAACATAAAATACTCCTTTTTAACGAGAGTACAAAATCATCCACGTGGCCTGCAGCTCAGTTACCTAATAATCAGCCTCCTATGTTTGCCTATCACAGTACCGTAGATGCGCATAAGATAACACTGAACACCACAAATGTGCACATTGCTTCAGTTTTGGTGGGAAATGAAGAAAAGCATCAGTCACAATATCCTATTACTGAAATTGTCCATGACAACATGGAAAAGAAAAGAGATACGAATTTGCATTCCAAAACTGACCAAAACACAATACAGATCAAACAAAACAGACCTAATGACAAGTCATCTTTTTTGAATTCCAAACTAATGGACTATGTAGAAGTTCACAAAGTCAGACAAGATGAGGAGCCAGCAGTATTACTGAAACATAAAGAAAATAGTGGAAAGACCGAAAAATACACTGTTCCAGGAACCAACAAAGAATATACCAAGGTCTCAACAGTTGTGGACCATAATATCCTAGTATTAATGCCAGATTCACGCATCCAGCACACATCTGTGTCTCAAGAACCTGCAATGGAAATGTCTCAAAACCTTCAGCAAGGTCAAGCTCAGAAAAATATGAGCTACTGTCTGACAGTTCCAAGCGAGTACAAAAGAGAGACCAGTGGATCAGAGTACATGGACCCACCTTCCTTTATGCCCTTCTTTAAGTAACCAGTAGTTAGTACAGTACATACTTAGTAGTTATGTACAGTAAAACAAAAACACATAGCAAATAGTTCCTTAAAAAAGCCTAGCCTCCTATGTGTATTATACAGAGAATAAAATAAACTGTGGGTTGAGGTAATAATCATGGAAGTAAACCTTGGATCATTAACACATGTTTCTGACACAGGGAAAGGAGGAAATGGATATTATCTGCCATGAAAAATACATTGTAAACTAATTATTCAGCTCTGCACATCTTCTATTAGTTGATTAAACCTGAGGGAATACTGCAGACTCAACAAAGGTCAAAATTGTTACGGGTCAGTGAGTACACCATAGTGATCTGAGCAGTTCCTAAATCGATCATTGCACAACAGCATTCTGATCTACAATGTATTTTCTTCTGAATGCATTCTGACACTAGATTAAGTTTTCTTTATATTTTTTATCAATCCTTAAAAAAAAGGAGCTCTTATATATGACAAATCATATATAAAAGATAATATATTCAACAAATTGCAGTAAACTGACAAATTCTTCTAAATGTATTTTTGTTTTGCTTCAATGTGACAGAAAACTACATCCCATTCATATCCTAGTCCAATCAAACCAAACATAAAAAAAAAGCAGGACAATATTTGATATACTGCCTTACTGTATATAATATATAATTCTACTTTAGTATGAGCCCATATGTTTAACAATGTATTTTTAAAGGCTATTTTTCTATTACCAAAAAAAGCAAAATAAATATTTTTTAATTTCCTAATGCTATTTAGCTTCTTAGGAACTTTTCTGTTTCATTCTGCTGAGACCATGGTAATGAGTAAAGCTACCATTTCTATACAAAGCATAAAATTAAACTTTGTACTAATTAAGAATATGAAGTAATTTTTAAACTATATTTCTAATATATTGCAGATTTATTACTATTTGAATTGTAAATTATTTATTTCACATGTTTTTTATCATCTGTAATTATAAAATTAAAATAGAATCTAGGTTTTGAGAGCAAAGCTTCTTTCTCACTGAATTTGTACTCTGATGCCAACCTTGAATGGAATGGTGTTCTACATCCTTGGACATTGCACTTTTCTCTGAGCCTGGAGGGAAAGTTTGAAATCAGATCTTTCATAATGAACTTATTAATTTTGGAATCCAGCCTCCAAAGTCAAAGATACATGGCATAAAGTCTAAGTCAGACGTCTGCTGAAATAGTGGTGGGGATGAGGAAAGGACACCATGCACCTGGTCTGGACAGACATCCCTGGAACATCTGTGGGAACGGTGATGATTCCTCATATCCCATGTAACCAAAGGCAGAATCAAAATGATACTGGAATGGCTCTGAATTTACTGTGGTCCTTCCTTCTTGAAACAAAAGTTTAATTTGCTCCAGGAAAGTATGACGAGGTGATGACTGATTAAAACTGGGACAGGTATTTAGCCTGTATCATTAGCTTCAGGTGAAATTGGAAACATAAGGTAAGGGAAACTGTTCTATAGATGTGAAGGAATGTGTATTTACTATAGACAAGCTTTCCTCTGTTCTTGTCTTCCCTGAACAGCTTTACATTTCTCCAGCTTTTCATGATTTTATGCACTGAGCCACCCTTCCTGCAGTATCAGGTAACCTGCTGCAGAGCCAGCCCAAAGAGACTTTCAGATTTTGAAGGTCCCATAGGGCCACATTTAATTCGGCAAATCAGATTCTCACCTTTTACCTTCGTGCCATGGAACTGCTCAAGTACGGATCAGTAGAGCTGTCTAGCCCTTCTGTTGGCAGGACTTTAGAATTTTACTAATGATCTGTGTGTCTGTAAACATATGTGTTAGTGTATACTGTAACATTTACTTCAGGCATCAAATTTAAAGCCTGTGTCCTCCATACAGGCAACATACTGCCCATTTCCAGAGGTTGATCAGAGCAGTCTGGATGCTCTGCTGAATATGTAGGGAGGTATCTTAGATTCTTAATTCAGCCACTTATTTAACACTTGAAGACATGAAATGGCTACTCCAGAGAGCAGCCAAACATAAAATTTTGTTTAGTTGTAGTTAACAGGACAACTTTACTTTAGCATTTGTAGCGCATCTTACAAATTTTCTACAGATGCTGAAAGTACTGCAAAGAAACGAGAGTTTGATAAGTTGATAAATTTACCAGTCCAAACTGGAATGTTTTGCAGAGCAGCAACTTGTGTGTGTGCATCTGTGTAGACTTATAATATATTCCTTCTGACGGTGCTTCATTTACACTTGTTTTCTGACTAAATCTGACAGACCTGATACAGATCTGACACATTCTCTTTCTTTACACAGATAGCCATTTCTGAGCCAAGCCATTGCATAAAGACATGCTGCTACAGGCCTTCTGTGATGCATCTGGGGATGCATAGAGGTTATAGAATCTTATCAAGCCACAACCTAAAGATTTTCCCTATGTAGTGGATTTCTTAGGATAAAACACAGGTGACTACATAGATGTTGTACACCAAAGAAAGCATGGGATAAGGTGTCAGCAGTGGGCAGTTGCTGTCATATCAGTTACTTTGCACCTGAAGCAAACAAATACATAACTTTTAGCAGATTTTAAGTATATGATTCATCCTGCCTAACTATAGGTATCTATATATGTACCTCCAGTAATCCATACAGAAAGAGAACTGAGTGGAAGAGTTTATATGCTTTGCCATAAATTGGTACTGAAGCTGCAAAATCACTGTAGCCTAAATTACATTGTGAAGTGTAGATTTGCTCCCACCTGTGTTGATGAATGTCTCAATATGCCAAATCATCATGGCTTTCCATGGAAAGGGAAATTCATCCAGGGTGCAAAAGGTGCGTTTGCTCATTGCTCTGAGGTAGCTAAGCTTTTTGAGGGATTTGCTAGCTAAAATCAATTTGAAGAAAATTTTCGTAAATATATTTCATTCTTTAAGCTGAACAAATGTGCAGGCTGATTATTTTTCCTTTGGATTTGCTTTTATTTTCCAAAACACCTTGTTACTCCCAAGGTGGGAACAACACCTTCTGAAAGTGGCCTTTAACATCTGAAAGTACTTTAAGACGAGAATAAACTACTGTTCTGTAAAATCAGAATAACCTTCACCTAAGCGTCTGGGCCTTTGGATGTTCAAATACTTCATTCTTTCCATTTGCGACAATATTTTTGCTTGCAGCTTTTTAAGGAATTGCTTTTTATTAGGAAATAGATGAAATTTTGCAGCAGTTCTACACAGTCGATTGTTGTAAAATTATGACACATCAGTGGGGAATAACAGGCTCTTGACACCTCCTTTGATACACAGAGGGATGAAATATGTAACAGAATTTACCCCAAGAAAGGAGTTTAGCCCTCTAGCTCTTACACCATTAGTCAAATTTCTGACTTGGAATATTTATTTGAAAAGTTTAAACAATGTTTTCAATATCAAATTTATGCATGTGTCACTTGAAGTGTGAATTACTTTTTAGTAGCATAAAAGCCCTAAAAGGAAGCATAAAGGCTCTTCAGAAGTAATTAATTTTATAAAATTTATAAAATCAGATATATATTTTTTTAATTAT